AATAGAATCCATTAAGATGGGTAAGCAGGATTAGGTTGTCTTGTGTCACACAACCTGTAAGTAATAGACTTCTCTCTCAGGCCCATGGGTTCCCCAGTACTGGAGGGCTGATGAGTGGGGAAGGTGCCCCTAGGAAACTCACATTCTCTCATGTGGCGTGAACACACTGACCCCGTTGTTTTTCTCTTTGCACATGCTAATCAGATCTGTTGGGTCCGCTTGGGTGGCAGCCACCCTAGTGCATGAGCATGTTCACAGGTGTGGTCTGTGCCTCAATGGGAAGTGAGAAGTGAGGGAAGGTGATGCTGGGGAAGTGAGAACTTCAACACAGTCTTTAAAATCCCAAAGGCAGCATGACTTTAAAAAGACTAATCTGAAATTAAATGCACCCTCCAAAAGAAATCTTCATGTGAGCCAAGGAAGTGACTATTCACAGGGGAGCCAGCAAGTTGTATCAGAAAAGCAAACTTTGCAAAATTGGAAAATAGTCTAAGTTAGAATAACCAGAGATGCTGACAAACTAGAGATGCCAGGCAGGTCTAAATTAGAAATTGGCTAAGGGAAAGGAAAAAATATGATGAGGCCTTTAATGAATTCTAGTGAGAATTCCATAAATTCATCAACATACCAGGCCAGCAATAGGAAAGGGGCTTGGTAAACATGTGCTTGCCAAGTAAGGGGGTGGCTCAGCTGCACTCAGAAATGGGTGGAAGTTGAGGGTTGGGGCCAGCAATTCAAAGGAAACCTCCTGTACCCTCCATCCTGGAGGAATCCTTCCCATTTTCCTTACAGTCTTTCTTCCCCATCCTCTACCTTTCTGGAGACCTTCTCCTTGCTCGTGGACCTAGATTGAACTCCACCAGCTTCTCCCCCCTCTGACTCTCGGCTTCGCTGCTGCTGTCGGAAGACAGAGCTGTTTCTGGCTTTGGCTTGAAGGTGATCTTTCCATAGATTCCCCTTGGCATAATGCTCTCATCTCATTTGTGTCTCTGCCTTTGGTTCTAAAACCTCAAAGTCCTGATTCCAATGTGTTTACATTTCCACCATCCGTGTGGTCTGGCACTTGAAGATGGATAGTTACATGGATATTTGGAACTGAGTCTGACAAAGACCCTGGAGATCAGCGATTGCAACGGCCTCATTTGGCTTTATGCTTGTGCCTGGCAAAGCAGCAGCCCTGCAGGTGGGAAGGGAAGGTAGACCAAAGCACAGCAAATAAAGTTTCCTTCCTAAGACAGGGACGAAACCACCAAAAGGCTTTTTTGAAAACCTGGAAGGGGAAGAAGAGCCATAATGCTACTGTAATAATTGGATGTCAGATCTCATTTCCTCTGTTGTCAGCTTTGAGTTGCGTGAGCCCTCGTCTTGCCAAGACCAACAGTACCAGCCAGGAGAGCACACTGGACAGAGGTACAGCCCCGGGGGATGAGCCAGTCCCAGGCTGGGAGTGGAGGGGAGGGGTGTGTGTGTGTGTGACAAGTGAGACGTTCTATGTGCTGTTTACACACTGTAAAGTCCTTGCAGGGGAGGGGGAAGGGAGCGTGGTCTTCTCTGGCTTCCCCTTGTCCCACCCCCACAGATAACAGCCTGTTGGCTTTACCTTGACACTTACGCTAAATGATAACCATGGCCAACATGGCCCAGCCTTGTCACTCCCTTCTAGAAGTGTCATGTACTTTATGGAATTGTCTCAATTTAGACAGATTCAAACGCTGTGGGTTTTCTTGGGTATTCCTGCCATTGTGGTTCTCCTGATGACAGCAAGCATCTGCTCAGTGCTACATTTTAGCATGGTTCTTCCCAGTGCCGAAGAACACTTTCCTGCTGTGCTGTGGGCTCAGCATCATTTTCAGGTCCTGGGAAGCTCATTTTCTGTTTATTAGCAACTCATGGCCTAATTGTAGCACTCTGAAAAACACCCATGTTTTATCATGTGAAAACTGCAGCTCTGGGCATCTTTTTTGCTTTGGGGAAAGTCCTGTAAATGGTGAGTACTAAACTTTAGCATCCTTGTTGCACCGAGGCACAGCTTAGCTCCCATCAAGTTGTGGCCGATGCCCTGCATCAGTGATCAAATCACCACTGTCTTGGCTGAGTCTGGTTTTGCTTTTAGTGTCTTTGCTGTCACTAGGGCTTTAAAGTGGTCTCAAGTCTTACCTTATTAGTGGTGTCTTTTCCAGTAAGTTTTCTTAGTTAACATATTTGATGTGGATATGCTTTTAGAAAAACAACTCCTTAAGGAGCAAATTCAATCTCTGGGATCAGTTTGATGGGGCCGTGGGCAGAGAGCTGATGTGATGCTTGTCCTGTTCCTGTGCACACTGGGTATTCTCAGCATCCAGTAGCGTCATGAGACCTGCTTGATGGCTTGGGCGCTATGGGCCTGGGCAGAGTAGAGGATCCTCAGGAGTTGCGATTCATTTCATTGAGGCTGTCAGCCCTAATGGTTAACCTTATCATTTTTTTCTCCTTTCCAAATGTGTCTGTAAAGTTCTCCAAGTTAAATACTGGCTCTATAAGATTATAACTCTCACCATGGACATTTGAAGTCCTCTTGATGTCTATTCTTGGAGCAGGCCAGCCCTGCTCAGGGCAACCAGAGCTATGTCTATATGGTCAGTGTTGCAGTGAAGCCAGTAAAGTCTTTTTCTCTAGCTCCTTCATTTCCACTCACTAAATTTAATTTGATTTTATTTCATGAACCCAGTGTAACCTTGTATGTGATGGGTGGAGAGACAGAAGCTGCTGAAAAGGACACTGTTCCTACCACTTTTTCTTTCTTTTGTGGGGTGGCGGGTTGGGGGTAGGGAGCTGGCAGGGGAAAGGAGAAAGAGGGGTCACATGAATTACATGCATGGATTAGTAAACAGGCCTTTTTAAAATCTCATTATTAATTAGCAACTGTGTGGCTTTAATAACTTCTCTGTGCCTATTTCTGAGGTGTCTGGGAGGGCTGCTGAGCTGTTTGGTGCTTATCCTGGTGTCTTTACTGGTTATCCAAGTCAAGTCAATTCCCCTCCTACCTACAGATCTTTTAATGATTTGTGTCCTGTGTTTCTACCTTCTACTTAGCATAGAATTGTTTGTCTCACCTATTTTAAAACATCCTCCCCTCAGCTCTAGATCTTCTCCGGCTCTATCCTCAATCCCTGGCCCCTTCACTTCTGGTCCTTGTCTGTCTCTTCATTCCTTAGCCTCCTATACTGACACCCACTACATAGACCAGGGAGCCAGCTCCTGCCAAGTTCGCCTGTGTTCTCCCAACTGGTTGCCACAGTGACTAAGTGTTGTTCTACTCTAGAGGCCTCTGCCCTCAAGACTCCCTCCTAAGACTAGCCAAGGGCTGAGTACACTGCTCTCAGAGCACCCATCCCAAGTTGCAAATCAGACCAGGACACATTACCAGTGAAAGTGTTTAATAGTTAAATTATTTAAATAGACTTTTCAATTTCCATGGGAAATCATAATCGTATCCGTTTTTGCAAGAGCAGGAATAAAAAGAGTGCACACCCCTTAGAGGGAATGAAGAGCTAGCACGGCACATTGTCACCAGTCACTGCAGGGTGGGAAGGAGAGGCTGGGAGGCCGTGACCAACAAGGGTAACATGGGGGGACTTCAGCACACGCACACATACACACACACACACACACACACACCAAGATACTTGGGTTGGAAGCAAAACAAAACCCAGCACCACTGGCGGGCAATATGGAGAGGCAAGGGGCTTGAGAACAACACATGGAAAAAGCCAGCCCCTCACATCAGATGCAAGAGGGCTGATGCAGAACTCAGGATGGAGCAGCACAAAGCACAGACAGACCCAGGCTGGCAGTTTTAGGTCCATAGCTTTGCCTTTCAGAGCCGTGTTCAAACTGGGGTGGGAGGTGCTAGTGTCCAGTGAGCTGGGCATCAAGGTAACGTTTCAGCAGCTGGCATACAGCTGCCACCTCACCTCCAAACTTGTGTTGGAGGTGAGAATAATTCTGCCCTGAGAAGCAATGAGAAGATCTAGGCACATTCCCCAAGGATTCTGTTTCATCATATCTGTGACAGTCTTAACCATTTTCCAAAGCCTCCCTTGTAGGGTATAAAAATAGATTTTTCTGTTCATGATTTTCTGTTCATACTGCTCATGCTCTCTCTCCCTCCAAAACAAATCATACACAAAAAAGTTCTACTAGCTTTGCACTGGGGGCTCTGAAGCTAGATGGGCTTCACCCTTCCCTCAGGTTTGCACTGGAGGGCAAGGCCAGACCTTTCCCTAAACCTGAGGCATCCACATTACACCCACCCCCTATCTGAGGAATCATCTCAAAGAGCCACCTGTGCCTCTGTTGAATGGAAAAGCCAGGCAGCCTTCCTCACCCTTCCCAGCTGAGGGCCTGCTCACCCAAGCTCTCAAGGTTGCATGAGCTGGGCTGACATCTCAGGGAGTGAAAGAGAAGACAGTGGCCATGCTGTCTTCTGTAGGCTGAGGTCACTTCCCTGGGTTCTAGCTCACCCTGAGATGGGAGAGCCGCTCTGTTTTCTCCTTATTCCATTGACAGTTTCCTCGGGATGTGGGGTGTGTGAGAGGGAGAGAGATAGGTATTGTGTTCCTACAACTTCCTACTTAATCTGAACCTATAGTACTCCCAAAATGCTCACTGCTCTGGTTAGACCAGAGGAAGCCAAAAACTGCCAAACTGAAGTGAGGGAAACAGGCACCCTGCAGGAGAGCAGTCCCACAGCGTGAGCACACGAACATCTACCCAGCACATACGCTGACATACGCACAGTACAAGTGAGCACAAACACCCCGCTGTGCACAGCTGTTTTCTAATATAGAGAATTTACAAAATATAGAATTTGGTATATTTGTTAGACCTCCAAGGTTTTTCAATAATACAAAATAAAAAATACAAAAAAGACAACTTGGGATCCCCGCCCTCCCTCCCCCGTGACATCCTCATTTGCTGTGGGTCTCTTACACACATATATCTAGCATAGTCTAAAGAAGGGCACAGAAAACTTGTTTTGTTTTATTTAATAAATATTTTTTTCTCAGAACCACCACTCCTTGCTTCAAGTCCTCTCGCCTCCCCCTCATAATTCTGTTCCCCTCAAAGGGGCATGTGTCTGTGTGTGTAGGTGTATCATGGTGAAGGCCACAGTCCCTCTGTAGCCAACACGCTCACCCAAAGCTCCTTCCATGGAGCAGGGGCTGCAGCCTCTGAAGTTTAAAGGCTCACATAGAAAAGCAGACCCCTGGGGCCCTTAGGTCCCCTGCCAGAGTCGTGGCGGCCTACCTACCCACTGGAGGCCAAGGCCTCTCCCTCAGCCCTGCCATTGAGCGGAGCCGCCATATACCCATAAACACCCAGCAGCTCCTTTCCACCCACACAGCAGCACCCGTTAGAGAACTCAAGATTCAGATCGAGTCTAACTGAGTCTTCTACAGAGGGAAACATCTTTGGTCAGCTTGGTGCTCGCAGGACGCTGGCACCCCAGGGCCCGGGATGGAGGCTGCCACCCACCCTCAAAAGCAGAAGCTGCTTCTGGAGTCAAAGTGGGAAATCTCACCGCCGCCATGGCCACATGGGCTGGAGCGCAGGCTTCCACCTGCCCACCCGGCACACAAAGAAGCCGTTTCCATTTCTCTGGAGGCCAGGCTGCCTGGCATTGTTGACTGGCAGCTGCTAACTGAGTGGGGGCCCTCCGTTGAGGAAGTAGGTCATCATCTCGCCTTTGCCCTTGACTTTGACCACACCCCGGCACTCCAGCTGGTAGGTGTTGGCAGCCAACACTTGATACATATCCGTGGTGACCTGAGAAGGAAAAAGCAGACAGACAGGCCATTGATGACCTGAGCATGAATCTGCGGACAGGCAGAGTCACCCAGACACAGGAAGGTGAGTGGGGGATGGGACTAACTACTATGTGTTCATGGAAGTGCCCCTTAGAAAAGAGGATGGCATCACCTCCTCCATGCCATCAGTGTGATGAGCGCCTCATCTGTGCTATTTCAGGGTGGTCTGTGGCCTAGGAAGTGCCATGTCCACGGAGAAGGCAGAAGCTGAGAGGAACTTTCACGCAACCGAACCCTGAGCAGTATCCACTCATGTCATCGCTGTGACCAGTCTCACTCCCTCACAAATCAGAAGTATTTTTGGAAGCTGATTTTCCGCAAACAGGTAATTTGGTAACCACTGCTAATCTCATTTAATGTTTCTATAAGGTGAGGTCTGTCATTCCAGGCTCAGAAAACCTTTCTGAGGTTACAAAGCTAATAAATGGCAGAGCAGGGGTTCAATTCCAGATCTTATTACCTCTCTCTGCTTTAGTTTTTGGGGCAAAAAGGAGAAGTCACAGGTGCTACAGTCATTACATAGTACAACAGTGGGGTGAAGGAAGAGAACTTGGGGGAGAGGATGGAAAAGGACTCCCAGGGTGACCCACCAGCTATGTCTGAGTACAGACAGCACCCCCATCTCCTTCCAGACTACCTAGACACAACTACTGACATAGGTCCTGGCCCCACCTGGCTGTCATTGCAGAAGGGGGCCCAGGAATGGCCAGGGGTGCTCTGGGAAGTGAGCCTCTAAGTGTATTCTGTACATGATAAAAGCCCTGGGCAAGGTGAGGTGCTGGGTTGTCAGTTGTTGCTGACAAGAGTCCCTACACCGTCTGGGGGTGGGTTTAGAAGACCTGCAAACACACATGCCTTTCCCCCCGCCATCTTCTCCAAGACCCCCACTTCTCATCTTACTGTCCCCCTACCCTTAGGGGCTGAAAAAGAGAGCCAATTAGGCTAGGCCCCTCAGATCAGCCAGGGTGGTGCAGCTTTACAAGGACCTCAGGTATGACATGTGTGACACAGTCTAGGCCTCTCTGTTCAAAGAGAAGAATAAAAGAGACAGAAAAGCAGCTGAATGGCAGCAGGCCTGAGAATCACAAGCACCAGCTTGCAAAGGATGATGAGGAGACAAAGATCCTGGGTCTCTGCTTAGGCTCCATGTTGTCCGGCTCTGAACCTTGCCAAATGTGGTCCCCATTTGGCAATTCCCTACTCCCTGTGATTGACTGAGTCCCCTCCGCGAACCTGGGCAGGTACTGAGGACCCCCATCAGCATTCATCTTTTGGCTGGGGTGGTTGCCCTCCCAAGCCCCCAATTCCTTCTGTAGCCAGTAGAGGGCTTTGTTACAGGCCTGAAGATCTGTCCACGGTACTGAGAGCCTGAATCATAACCTGTTCGCTTACCTTTCAGGATTAGCACTAATTACCCCCATCACCCTCAAACTTGGTGGCAGAAATTTTGACTGGGAGCTATGGGTGGCCTTCCCCCTAATATCATTTAATATTGAGCAGAAGCCCCGGGTGTGGGTGAGGTGGGTGGTGGGCACGCCTCCACTCACCTGGATGCGGTCGGGCACACCGGTGCTGTCCATGCGGCTGGCCACATTCACTGTATTGCCCCAGATGTCGTACTGAGGCTTGCGAGCCCCTATCACCCCAGCCACCACGGGGCCAATATTGAGTCCTGCATGGGAGAAGGGAGCATGTCCATCATGTCCATCAGTGCTTGTCCTGCTCACCCTGCTGTTGTCCCTGAGGTTGTGCTTAGCCCAGCAGCTCTCATTTCTCAGCTCCCATTAAGTGCTTGCTAGCTCAGAAACATCCATCGTATATTTTTATTTTTTTCTCCTGTCACTACCCAGCTCTTTCAAATCCATCACCATGCCTGCCCTCCTTAAGGCTACCACTGATAAGCTGCATCATCCATTCCCTAATGGCCTCTTTTGGTGGCATTTAAGTTTTCACCAACAATTCAGATTCAATGTAGCAGAATTTTCCTTTCCCTCAATCCTGTGTTTCTTTCAGGGAACCACCATTTTCATTCTTAGAACCTCGTTTCTAACCTACCTCATTGCCCTGGCCTCTTCTCTCTTCCCTCCCTGCCTCTGCCTTTGGGCAGGGACACCACAGAGACCAAGTCTGAGGGGCACAAAAACAGGGCTTTCCGTCTCACCCCTCTGCCCAAATCTGCTAACCTTCCCAATCTTGCCCAAAGCAACATGGAGCACCCTGCCTCTGGCTTTTGTTGTAGCTGTCCATCTGAAGTGTCTACCCCCCCCCCCCCACTGCAGGTGAAGTCCTTCCCTGACATGTCCGACTTGACTGAATTCTTCAGATCTCCCCTGTCTCCCAAGTTCCTGACCACTTCCTCCTATTACATTGACTTGCTTACACTGTTCCTTATGAAGCCTCATTGCTGCTTAACCTGTTCTTCAGGTGGAAGCAGCAGGAGTACAAACACAGCAGAAGCTACTAAACTGGTCTCTTAGTCATTCAGTCAGAATTTTTAGCAGTCTCCACAGCCTTCCTCTTTGGTCCTATCAAGCTTAGGGAGCTTTTTACCCCACATACTAGTCCCAGGCTGGGCTGTACAGTCACTCACCAAAGCCCAGCTCCCCCAGGATGATACCCCCGAGTATGTAGGAGGGATTTGCCACACGAGGCTCCACACCACTTATCTGCCTGTTCACAGAACGCCCCCGCCCCCACCCCACCCTTGACCCCCAGGCCTGGTTTAGCAGGCGTTAAGGCAGCTAACAAAAACATAACAGTAGGAAAAATAAAAATCAATGTAGGTGAAAAAGATGGTGCAAAAGGAAAGCAAAATGTTAACATCACATGAAACCAAGAGTGAAGTTAGCACATACTACTAGGCTACCTGTTCCCTACAGCAGACCCCAGTGGGCTGGTCTGGGTTTGCCGGCAATCAATGCAAAACGCAAAACCAGTCAAGTCCCAGTCTCAACCTGGAGCCCAGGCTGAGGAGGCCAGCTTGTTCAGGGAAAGCCCAGTTCCTGATACTCAGGCTGGAACAAAATGTCTCCCGAGGACATTAAGGATCACAATATTGATTTTTAGTAATCCAATATTTTGGTTTAATGTGCTAATTTTGAGAATTGAAACACCAGTATTTTTGTTGGGGAATTATGATTCCTTTTTTTAAAATTTGAAATCTGAATCATTTATGGCTTGAGACCTACCCAGGGAGTTGATAATGCATTAAAATTTTGAATAGAACAAAGACTTGCTCCTTCAGAAAGCATTCTTCACCTCCACAATCCTCAGGAGGGTGAAGAGCAACACTCACAAGCGAAGTTTCTACTGGAAACACAACCCTCATTCTCTGGGCCCGGACCTCCTTCATCAGATACATGCTACGCCAAAAACAGACTGCAGAAACATCTTGAATTTTATCGGGTAACTAATTCAACTTTGTAATATGAAAATAATTTGTAAACACAGGAGGGTGTCTATGCCCTCTGTACATTTGCAAATTTATAAAATTTCATCATGTTAATACTTCCAACTGTTATGTAGAGTTAAAACTTGTTCAAATTGAAAGTTGGGGCAGTACAACAAGATTATAAACAAAAAGGAAAAGTATATAGGTGTTTGCTTCAAAGATTTTCTTAATAAGCAGAGTACAGCCTGATGGTTTTGACGCTGGCCCATGGCCTCTGCTCAGAATCTCCCTCTCTAATGCAGCAGCCCACCTCAGGTCACTACGGCATCATCAGAGTCATTCAGACAGGACCCAAGCATTCGACAAAGATAGATAAATGGACTCAACTTATCACATTTTTGTAGATTAAAATGGGTTTCACAGGACCTCCCTGGTGGTGCAAGGGGTTGTGTCAGCACTATGAAGCATCTGCAGCCACTGCAGCATGAGTTTAACCCCCGGCCAGGAGCTGACCACATGGCGCAGCAGACTGTCCTGTCTCCCCTGCTCCCCTCAGCAGTGTGTTTCAGTAGCTGCACCTGTTCTCCCTACTCTGTCTCTGGTGAATTTTCTTCACCGCTGCACCTCTGGCCTACACTCCAGCTCTTATATGCATAAATAAAATTTTTTTTATTCTGGATTTCACAGAATCTAGATTTTGTACATACACACAAGTGAGGAACCACTGGGAACTCAACAATAACCTCACCAAACCAATCTGTATGTTAAGATTATTCTGTTTTGTTAAGTTGCAATATAATCAGTATGTTGTCAATTTTTGTAGAATACATGCTCAGTTTTTATAAATTTGCAAATATAATGACTTACACTATATTTAAATATACTGGCTTTAAAAGGTAGTAAAATGAAGTAATTTTTATTTTTACTGAACCAATTTGGAACACTTTTTTTTTTTAAAGATTTATTTATTTATTTCATACAGAACTGTGGTACAGGCCAGAGATGCGGATTGTGAGAGGCTTCACCAGAGACAGAGTGGGGAGCAGAACAGGCAGATCGAC